ACAATTTTGCGTAAAATTGTGTTCAGTTTAAAAACGTTTAATGCTATGAATTTATTATGATACACAGCAGTTGAAACGAAATTTAATTCAGACTCTGTATCTTTGATAGTGATCACGAGAAATTTAAAAGCCCGTAACAACGATAGTCATTGTCGATAATTATTTTCGAAACGATTTCACGGCTGTATGTGATTGGTAGTTAATCGGAGATAGCAAAAGTATACTAATACTGTTAACTTTTCCTTGCTCCTTAATTTCTTTACTACGAATATTATACTCTTTAGTCGTCAGTGGTTTTAGTGTTAACAAAATTCCAAAATGTTCTAAACAACACACACGCGCGCGCGCGTAATACATAAATACATACCATAAGTCACAGGACACTATGATAAATTGAGGTACAGCAATTGTATTCGATAAAATATTCTATTTTATAAAACGAAATTACTACTTATTACATATATATAATATTTAGAATACATATGTCATACAGTTTATGTGTCAAAAAAACTTACCAAGAAATATATAATGTACCGTATCTTTGTTTCGCCGATATATCCGCCTCGTGCAGATATGACTGTCTAAACTAGCCGTGGCACTCTTTCGATTAATTTTATCAATATTTCTGAACTTCTTTCCACGCTTCTCGTAATTTCTCCCACAAGTGTTTTCTCGATTTTGGACACGTTTTCCAAAGTCCTTCTATCCAGTTCATCCCATAATTCTTCGATTGGATTTTTTAAATATATATATATATATATATATATATATATATATATATATATATATATATATATATTTGATACTTTTTAAAATATTTATTCAGACTATATACGTAAAATATCAGTTTTGTTTTCAAGTATTATTATAAAATAAGTACATGCAACAAAATTGTACAATAAAATTAATCCAGAAAAGTATATCTGTGTTCTAGTAACTAGTGTCCGGTGAGTTATGGACAGGAGTGTACATACATACATACATACATACATACATACACACGATAATCTACGATAAACGTTGGAATATTTCCACCCTTCGTGCGTGCGTGCGTGCGTGCGTGCGTGCGTGTGTGTCGCAATCTCTTTTTGTCGGACGATTCGTTGAGAAGCGAAGCGTTGCCTGCTTGTCTCTACTTGCAAGGAGGCCCCGTTTCACGCACGCCCACCGCGGCCGTGACCACGTGTTCCACACGCTTCGTCCACACGCTCGGCGCTACGCGTTTCGTACGCGTGTGTGCGCTCGCTCGCTCGCGCGCGCGTCACGGCTCTCCGAGGCTCGCGTCGCTCCTCACGGAGTGAGTCTCGCCCGAGTCACACCTGCTCCTTTTTCCCACGAGATCGCTTTGCCCCCCAGCCACCACTCCTTCCTCGGACGTCCTCGGCCACCCTTGGCTCCTTTCGCTCTCTGACAAGCATCGACTCGGGCCAGGGGCGGCGGAATTGACTCGTCCCTGCCGCCACACAGATTTCCTACTTCTCTAATCTCCTCTTCTCTCCTCTCTTCTCTCTACCGTCTTCGCGAACAGTCATGGTGGTAGCAATATTTGCGCGAGCTTTCGGCAGCTTTCCGTTACATCTGTCCAACCGTTGACAGATGACACAGATGGAAATTCTTGAAATTTGGAATTTTCCATGGAATTTTTCTGTCGAAGGGTGTAAAATTTTTCGAGCAGTCAGAGTTGATGAAGCTTCTCGTCGCATCGGTTTTATATATCCGTTTGTTGTCGTAGAAAACGGCCGATTTTTCTAGAGAGTCGAATTCCAGCGAGTGGAAGATGATTTTTTTTTTCATTTTTAATGCCCTCTTCTTCTTCTTCTTCTTTCACAAGTTTCAGTATGTATTAAGTTTTATAGTATGTATTAAATTGTTGCATGTGGAATATAAAATTATTCAGAGTAAGGCAGTACAGCAGAGCTTCTTTACAGTTTTGTATCTGTTTGTCGCATAGTAAACTGCCGATTTTTAAAGAAGAATAAAGTAAAAATATAGTAAAGATATAGGAAATACAGTAAAATATAGGTAAATAAAGTTAAAATTCTTTCACAAGTTTCAGTAGTTTTATGGTATCTATTAAATTGTTGCATGTAGAGTATAAAATTATTCAGAGTAAAGCAGTTGAGCTTCTCTACTTTTCTTTTCACAAGTTTACAGTATCTGTTAAATTGTTGCATTTATTATGTAGAATATACGACTCATTTTTAAGTTAATATAAATTATTCAGAGTTCATGACTGTAAGATACTTGAAAAACAGAGTTGTGTACTCTTTATGCAAAAATTTAATAGATAATATAAAACTATTCAGTAAGTTTCAGACTTGCGAAAAGAAGGTGGAGTTTCAGAAACATCAAACGAAGAAAGATTACTTCACTCATTCGTCTGGCAAGTAAAGCTTCTCAGAATTTTTCGCGCGGAATTCTCCCTTCAATGTTTCTTTATCTCCGTTGTTCCCTGACACTGAATAAATTTCGTGAATAAATTGCAACCAATTTCGGGGATACCGCGATAACGTAAATTGCGTTGACTTTGCACACAAGATGTACAGTTAACGTTCTCGTGAAACTTGCATCAAGATCCGCAGAAAAATTTATTTCTTCTCCATACTGGTGGAATAAAAATACAAAATAAAAATTATGAATCGTAAGCTACGACCAATTCGGAATTTTTAGAAAATTTAAGAAACAGAATTATTAAAATAGTCTTGAAGTATCAAAGTTTCAATTCAAGTGTAAATAAAGTTTCAAAATTTAAGTTTAAACTTTTGTTTAGAATTTTTGAAAATACCAAATATTTTTTTGTGGTAATTTCTTCAACGATAGAAGATTTCATATTTGGATTTCGATCGTTTGATCGGCGGTTTCGGCGAAACTCAAAAGTCTTCTTCTTCCTTCTTGTTTATCGCACGACCGCGTATTATCTTACTCCTGTGTAAATTCACTCACGAAACGTCCAGGGTGCTCACTTTGCCGAGAGGATACTTTCTACCATTACGATAAGAGAGGTCCGTTTTTGATGGAAATGCAGATGCGTTGAAACGTGGGAATACAGAGAATCGGCAAATGGAGACTAATCTTTTCTCTTCGAAGCATAAATTTCATTTTACTGCCACTGTATATTGAGTCGCCGATGAACCGTGCTGATCGACTCGATAAATTAACACGCGTCGCCTCGAGTTTCCCCTAAATTAAAAATAATTCCGCGTAAATAAATAAATGATGAACACTTTTGAACAAACAGAAGAGGAGAACTTTCGAAGAATCGTGAAGAATTGTCCAAATTGCGATTTCTGTAGACAGTTACGAAATTTAAAATCGATGAATTCATCTTTGTTTATTTATTTGAAGGAATACAAATTCATCTGTTTAGATGATTATAAATTTATTCGTTGGAGAATGCAATTATTCGTCTATTACATTGTAACTACAATTGCGTACTTGTTATGTTTATTTCCAACTTAGAAAATGCGATTGCGAGGAATAGGAAACCTCTCGATTTCATCTTCTGATTCATCTTTCTAACAATTCTTCGTAATAATCATTTGAATAATTTTTACACAATCTTCATAGAATTTATAGTAATTCTTCAAGCTCTCCGGAATAATTTTATCGTAATAAATCTTTGTAACGCGCGTATATTATCTTTCAGTTCAACGTGAAAATTGATTCACGTTGAATTCCAAACATCGTCAGAAATCGAAGAGATTGAAAAGAAAAGAAGAAAGAAAAATAAATAAATGTAATTTCGTGCCGAACACCGGATGTTCGAATAATAATCTCGCGGTGGTCGCTAGTCCTTTAGTTTAGCCTTAATCACCGTCTTTAATTACATCGGTGAACGTCGCCGTGCCCGATCAAAATCACTTTCTGCCGCGCGGAGCTTTGAAATTTTAATTACAGCCCTTGCGTTTTGATTGATCGTCAAAAGCCACGGCGGAGAGAGAGAGAGAGGGAGGGAGAGAGATCCGGTGAATCTTCACTTCTCGAAGACCTTGCTCGAATTTCTATGTTTAATCGCCGCGATTAAAAGGCACTTGACATAATAATAGTTTTCGGAAATATTCACTCGACTGCCCATCAGTTATTATTTTGACACGTTTCGTTTTTTTAGACAGGTAATAATTTTTTTTTTTTCTTCTTTAGGTTTGGTTTGGTTTGGTTTGTATTAGCTCAGTTTAATTTGGAAAAATTTTTTCAAGAGTTAATTACACGAGAAGAAAGATAGTTTTTTTTTCTTTAGATAGGTTTTAATTCGAGGTTTAGAGTTTGTACTGCGCCTGTGTAATGGGTGGTTAGTTAAAACCTGTTTCGAGTCAAAAAGTGGCGGTGGTCTATTTCGTCTATCAAATATTTTGATTAATATCTGTTACAGCTTTGTGAAAAGCGATCGTTCTGTTAGTTACTGTTGTCTGATCGTTATTTAAATAATTGACATTATCAATTTGACAATTTCAAAGTAATAATAAATAATAAGATACTGTTTTCAACGTTGTATGATTATCGGGCTCAAATTCAGATGTATGCATTAGCTATTAGAGCTTATCAACTATAAGATATTCTGTGTTTTAAATATTTTACGTACATTTTTCTGTACTTGAATGCAATTTCTATTTAAAGAAATGCATAAAAATCCACGATTTTGATAATTATTTTGTTCAATCTATTCGCCTTTAACGAAAATGTACATTAAACAAAGTACATTACTACAACATTATAAAATACAAATATTTACAATATTCAACAGACGAAACAAATTTTTTATCCTTCCATTTCTTTAGTGATTTACAAAATTATCCGTGGTATGCTCAGCTTAAACGTACTAAAATCCCACATTTTTAAAAATATGAATCGACGGATGCTCAACGAATGTAAATAAAGTATCTAATTATTTCGTTCATGTTGTTTATGTTGTTAAATAAGTACATAAAATAAGTATATTTTAAATATTTATGGTATCTAATAGAACGAAACGAATGTTTTATTCCATTTTTCCCTTTCTTCAGTTGGATTTCACGTCCAGTTCAACGAACACCGAAAAAGTCTCAGCGCACACCGACGAAATGTGTAAAAGGAAACGAACGAGCGATGATTAATTCGTGCGCGAATATCGTATTGCGAGCCGATGGCCGATCTCGAGGCAGCGACCTTGGTCGTGTACAGCCTGGAAACGTATGGACACGTCCTTGGCTGCGAAATTTACGCCAACAATTAAACTCCACCTTGGCGCAGCGCAACGCAATGCAACGCCAGTGAAGAACGCGTCCTGCACCTGATTCCCTTTTTTAAAAGGCCAACCCTACCCCGTCGATGTCCTTGACCTCCTCCCCCCTCATCGTCCTCTCCAGCATCCAGAATGGCAGCCACGGCAGAGCTCGCGAGAAAGGAATCAACGGGGATTCGCCACTTTTCGAACGACAAATCCGTTGGAAAATGATCACTCAGATCGTCGGCCGTGTTTACGATCATCTCGCCACTTTTCGAACGACAAATCCGTTGGAAAATGATCACGAAGACGTGTTTACGATCATCTCGCCTCTTTCTTCTTGGAGATTTCGTTCGCGAAATTATTTGATCTAGGTAGAGGTAATCGTCGTTCGAGTATTAACGCTAGAACAACCAAACTGACTAGTTTGTAATATTTCTATTACATTATAGATTTTGTATTACATTTTACACGTAAGATAGTATATTTTTACATTATAGATTGCAGATTATTGTTACATTATAGATTTTGTATTACATTTTACACGTAAGATAGTATATTTTTACATTATAGATTGCAAATTATTTTTACATTATAGATTTTGCATTACATTTTAGATGTAAGATAGTATATTTTTAAAGATTTTGAGTGATTTTTCTGTTTTATAACAATTTTTTCTTTTTCATTTTTACACAAATAAATGTGTTCTTGTGTATTCCATTGTATTTCACTGTTTTTTTCTTCTTTTTTTCAATTTAATATCTCTGAATATGAAAATTTCATGCTTTAGTCTTTGATAGTTCTAGCGTTAATGCTAAAGCTATCGAGCAAATTGAAGCAAACGCAAAAATTGTATCGGTGACATTAGAGAAGCAAGGGATGAAAAATAGCTACAAAAATCGTTCGAATCTGCAAAAAGTAAACATTGTTACTCTGCGAACCTACTGTAAGAAAATTATAAATTGACAATCTCAGAGATAAATGGTAATTTTGTCACTGTAAGAAAATTATAAATTGATAATATCAGAGATAAATGGTAATTTTGTCAAAAATATTCGTGTTTTCCTGAGCAATTGTAAAAAAAGAAATTTAAAATTGTCCAATGTTAAAAAAGACGATTTTAATTTTCAATCACAACAGTATAATAAATAGTACATGTCAACAGTATAGTATATATTATTTATATAAATCTAATAAATTATAATAGTAATAAATAAATTTCAACAGTAATTTCAATATTCTCAAGTACAATCAAATATAATCTGTATATAATTTTTATTCATTTATTTATAGAAGTAACACGCAAGATATTCAAAACACAATGTGGTATGCAAAACAATTTTCTATCTAGGTTCCATTTCTTTTTCAATTATTTCGGTAAAAGTATAAAACTACACAAACATCAATACTCATACAACGAGACTGCGAATTTTCAGAGAATCTAACGAAACGAATGATCGTTTTACTACGTATCAAACATGTACACATATTCCGATATTCCATAAATTTTTTTCATATTGCACGTAAAGATTCGCAGTCTCTCCTCAGATCCTCCCGTTCAAATTCAGTTTCTTCGATTGGCCTGGTTCGTAAGAAACTAACGAAAGTTACACGCAGAACTAAAAAAAAGAAAAGAAAAGAAAAGAAAAGCACGATACTCGCCAGGACGTTGTATTTTAAATTCCATTCGTGTAAACAGCGTGCAAAATAATTACTCGCGATCGGGTGTCGGTAACTCCGCGCAGCTAATCTGAACGAGGGTGAAATTTGCATTGCGCGAGGTGTCGGCGCCGTTTTACGGTCCCGTTTTAAAATAATACCGCCGTCCTCGCCGAAACGGCAGGTCCCCGAGAGTCGCAAACAAGCCGTTTACCGAGAGGAATCGCAGGTGCCTCTTAAGGATTTTCTTGTTTTCGCCGCGACATGCTCGCCTCGATATCTAATTTTTTTTTTTTTTTTCGCTCGAGGGGAGCCAACGGAGTTCGCGTGTTTTCGCCGTCGGGGCCGTGAGATCGAAGAAGTCGCGCGGTGAAGTTAATTTCGCGAAGCCGAGTCGTTAAGCAATCAACAGCTAACAGGACGTCCAGTAAAACGTCTTGGATAAAATCGGCGTGCTGCTCCCCCTCCCGGTAATTTTTATCGTCGTCGTTTCCCGTGTCTTATGAAATTGACTTGTCCGGAATCGAGCCGATTCCACCGTAATTCTGCTCAATCGTTATTACGAACTCTGGATTGTACGGGGACTTGCTCTGTAAATTGGGACAAAATGACAAACTTACGTTTTACATCTCGCTGGCATTGTCGCTTTGTTGCTTTTCGGGACTGATAAAACGAGCCGGTTATGAGAAACATTTTTGATAATGTGATGCACGGAGGTATGGATAATGTGTATAATGTGTCCTTTATGCCGTTTTTTTTTCTTTTTCCAATATATGTATAATGTGATGTATAGTAATATTGGTGAAATTCGATTCCGTCTAATATAATGTAACATATTCAACACATAACTATATATAATTCAGTATCCATTCAATGTGTTAAATATATATACTCTCGAGTGATATATTCTGGGATCACGGGTGACTATAACATAATCTGTATTACATTAGAAAAATTTAATTTTACTTTTTGTCTTGTATTCTCTCAAATGTAAAGGATGATCAAAAATTGAGCAATGTGAAATTTAAAAATTAACAATATAGTAATAGCAATAAATAGTACATTAATAAATAGTATAATGTATAATTTCATTAGTAACAATGATATAATATATAATAATAGTAATATTAATGAACATGAAATTCTATACAGTTCTAACGTCTACGTTCAATATACAGATTCAATTCCATTCAGTATAATTACTCTCGATTCTCGAATGGATCACAAAAAACTACAATGATCTTACATTACAAAAATTCAACTTATTTAACCTCATTTTTCATTTTATGTTCTTCCGGATGTAGAGGGTGATTAAAAATCGCAAAATTTAAATTTTTATGGTTGCTTTCTCGGTTAAACAAAGCGCCGCCATTTCTCAGACGCGCAGTTTCTTTCGATCACGAAAACTTAGAATTAACAATACGGAAGTGTAACGTACGAATGTAATTTTTGGAGCCGGTGCAAATTAAGGGCGAGACGAGACACGAGGCCCGGTGTAACTGTAACAAATTGCAAGAGGACGATCCTTTTTTTTTTTTAATAAAAAAAAAATATTCTCTGTCACTCATCCGCCGAAATTAATCGACGAAAATTTCAGCCTTGGCACGGTGATAAATTCCGCCGCGATATTATCTTGGAAATTTCATCAACCACCGAGCTTGTAGCACCGTCGTCGTGTCACACGTGTGTATAATTCGCGTGCAACAGACATAGAATACTTTTTATTCTCAACGCTTACTGGAGATAATATCTTGAATAACATTTGTCACACAGATTTTTAAATTGCACGTGTATTTTGCGATATCATTCCTAGTGTATTTATAATATTCATATGTTAATAATATTATAATATATTGTTATATATATATATTAATTTGTACATTACATCTATAAATAATATTTATATATAGTGTAATTTATATTTATATCAAGTTACAAAGTTTAGCATGGAAATTTTGTCAATGTTTTCAGATGAGAATACAATTAAACGTGGCAAAGAGTCCGTAAATGTTTCACAAAGGAAAAAAAGTCACGTACAAAAGTATTGTTTAATTTTTCGAATCTTTCGAGACAAATATTGTCCACGTTGTCAGACCTCTGAGCAGGAGCGTACTTTGCGAAAACAATCGCACGTTCCACGGTCGAAAGGAACGCGTTAGTCTCGCAACCAATTCAGAAACGAACGACACGAAATCCGTCTCGGCTGTTGTTTTTCCCACAAGTCATCGCACCTTTGTGAAACCATCCAATTCGGCCAGTATCCTCGAAAAATAAAAAAAAAAAAAGAAAAAAAGGAAAAAACTGACACGTTGGTAATTCGGCAGAAGTTTGCCAGGGTTGTCGACCGCCATGCTGTCGATCTTCTCGTCTGCGAACTGGTTTCAGAGAAAACCTGTCATTTCTCAGTAATATCTTCTCCTTTCTCGTTTCAATTCTTCGATTATTGGCCCTTTTGCGAAACGGTTCAAGGATACTGTATTAATTTTTATTCGTTTCGTTTGATTTATTTATTTCTTCTTCCTTTTTTTCGATTATTGGCCTTTTTTTGCAAAGTGTTCAAAGTGTACCGTCATAGGTATTAGTTTTTATTCGTTTTGTTTTATTTAATTCATTTGTTTCTTCGATTATTGGCCCTTTTTTGAAGCGTTTAAAGGAACCGTATTAATTTTCTATTTGTTGATTTCTTCTTCTTTTTTTTTCAATTTTTCTCTTTCACGAAGTGTTCAAAGGTGTATAGCATTAATTTCTACTTATTTTGTTTTATTTCTTGATTTCACCTTTTCTTTCTTTTTTTTTTAAATTCTTCGATTAATTGCGTTTTTATGAAATATTCAATTGTTTATTTATTTCTTCTCTTTTCTTTCAAATTAAATTCTTTGTCGGTTTCTTCCGTCACGATTAGAAGCTAGAGAAGAGTTGGAAGCAAAAAAATAATTAACCGGTCTCACCGAGCCGATATGGCGACATTATGCTGATATATTCATACGGTTATGTGGTGATATCATGCACACGGTGACGTTATTCTGATCACTGGCTATTACGATGTTTTATTAGTAACGTTGCATGCATGTCAGTTTATTGCTTAATTTCATAAGCTTGTCAGTTTCGCTTTTGTCGAGCGTCTGTCGCGCCGTGGAGGAAAATTTTATTTCATTCTTGGATAAAAATCTCGATTCTCGAAGGAGAATTCTTTATATTTATTCCGCGAAATCACGCGAATGTGATTTTTTATGTTTGGCAAGTTTTTATCTTAAATGAACATTAATTCCGGATTTCATAAGTTTCGTCTTTGTCGGACGAAGATCATCTTCCACCTCAGCTCATTTCCCAGAGCCAAATTATTGACATAATCGCAACAAACCACGGTACACTTACTCAGATGATTAAAATTCCCAGACTTTTACGATTTCTGTGATTAACTTTGCCTCGAAAGGGAAGGAAAAGACTCGATAATTAAACGTTTGATTTAATTACGTAAATGTTTACGTAACGAAGATTCTGATTGGCCTCCCTTCCTCTCTCTCTCTCTCTCTCTTTGTCTCTGTCTTTCAGTGTTAAAAATTTCCCTCACAATCGGCCAAGCTACCGTAAAATAAAGTTCCCTCAAATAACACGGCCGCGGCGAGAGAAGAAAGAAAGGGAGACGGAGGGACGAAGTTCGAAAGCAGGGAGCCGGATTGGAAAGTTTTACACACAACAAGCAGCCTGTGGTGCATCAAAATATTTCTCTTCCTCCGAGACATGAAAATAAAACTTCGTTCTTCTCTCTCTCTCTCTCTCTCTCTATTTCTTTCTCTCCTTTTTTTTATGTTG